GGAATATACTTTCTTTAATAGGTGCTATTCAAATTTTATATTTCCTCCAGAGTTAGTTTCATTAATTTGTCTTCCAAGGTACTTCTTACAAGTTGTCAAATTTGTTCCAAAACAGATTTTTGTAATATGTTTTCTATATCCTTTTAAATTCCATGAAATCTGTGGTAATGTCTCCTAGATCTTGATATTGTTATTTTAAAAATGTATAATGGATATTGTGTAATAGGAAGTAGGGTCTAAAGGAGCAGGGGAAGTGGGAGGGGTAGGGGAAAGGAAAGATGGGAAAAGAAAAAATATGAGAAAAGGAAAAAAATGGAAACAAAGTCTTTGCAAATAGGGAAGGGTGGGCAGGGGAAGGGGAAAAAAGTAAGAACCAAGATACTCATGTAATGGTACAAGATCCCAATGATGTATGTAACTGCATTTTATACCTAAAATGTACCAATAAACTTAATGGGGGGGGGAGACAGGGTCTATATAGTCCAATATAGCCTTGACCTCACTATCCCAGGCTGGCCTCCAACTCATGGTGATCTTCCTGCCTCAGCCTCTCAAGTGCTAGTGATGATATTTTAAAACACAAAACAGAACGTGTTTTCTAAAGTGTTAGATAATTAAGTTGTTATAAAAAGGCTTCCAAGTACATAAAAATACTTTAAATGTTATTTTACTTTTTAATATCTAAATGAAGCAAACTCAAAGAATGATCCCTAAAACCATCCAAATTCCATTCTTAAAAGTATGGATTAAAAGGAAACTACTTATTAAATTAGTAAAATGGTGAGGAACTAAATTTTCATTTTTTATATATTACATGCACATACCTACATGCACAGAGAAACAACAGTAGAGACAAAAAGCTGGAGCTCCTCCTACTAATGAAAATGAAACTTACACTTACACAGTGAATGAAAAGAACTGAAACTTATCCCAAATTGTTCAGAATTCAGAAAATCTACCCAAATGTGAATAGGATTTTAAGAAAAGAAATTCAGATTCACTTTCACTTTATTTTCAGATCCTTAAAAATCATTCATTTTGAACTAAGTACTGTTTGGAAAAATATGTTAGCTTAAAATATCTTCAAAGTCAAAGGTAGTTTGGAATTCTTATAAAGAAATCACTTGATTAAAAATCAAGAGGAAAAAATATCAAGAGGAAAAAATGGGAGGGAGAAAGTAAAGATTTTATCATACTTATTTATTCATGCAAATATGACCTCACCATTCCAAGTGTCGCATGTCATTGTAAACAAAGTTTTTAAATGCACTTAAAAATGAAAGCAAGGTCATTAGAAGCATGGAAAATCTGAGAGAAAATCTTATCACAGCTAAGAGAAGACTAAGATGATCTAAAT